GTGTGTGTGTGTGTGTGTGTGTGTGTGTGTGATTGATGATTCATGGCATTACAGTAGTAGTGCGAGTGGAGTGATGCTTAGTGTGTGTGCGTGTGTGTGTAGCCACATTAGTAGTGATGAATGTAAGTGGAGGACTTTGCTCCACAGAGCTACTGTTTTGGTCTCTGCTCTCACACATGAGGAACCACTGAGGGCTTATTACTCATGCTCGCCATTCCTGTTGAATATCTTCATATTTGCTGCCTCACAAACCCGTTAAACACTTTCACTATTTCAACATTTTTACAGTCTCACCTGGTTTTCTGAGTTACATGAATGCAACCGGAAAGATTTATATGATTAACTTTTCCCTCCTTTTTTAGTTGGAGTCCGGGGAGGAAGTGGATGTTGAGGAGTTCTACGTCAAGTTCAAAGGCTTGTAAGTAGTGGCTTAGATTTTTTTTTTTCTTGCTCTTTACATCTTTTGTCTTTCGCAGCAGGATTCCCCTTTTTTTAGATCAATTTTCTCCACACACACACTCACACACACTCCAGGGTGTCCTTTGGTTTTAAAGTGTGAAAAGCTGAGTATATTTGGCTTGAAAGCCTTATTCAGTTCCCACTGATCCTGTGGTGAGTCTTAATTGTGCTTCAGATCTATACTCATATCAATAGTCTGTACATGGTTTCCATACATGTAGTCTGACCAAAACTTATTTATTTTTTCAGGATGAAAGCTGGTAGAAAATATGATTCACCTCAAATTTAAGCAGCAGAACACAGAGAAAAGTCTTCATTGTTTGGACTATATACACACAAGGACAGATTTAATCCAATAAATTGGGTTATTCTACTGAGAGAAAAATATCTAAACATGGATACACAAATATATATACAGTAGAACCTCTATATAGGAGTTTAATTAGTTCCGGGAACTACTTAAGATTGTTTTAAAACGACCACAGTCTTGTCAGATTAACAACTATCCTGTTTTGCTGTTGTAATATTTAGTATTTTATTCCTTTGGATGTATCCAGAACAGCACTTTGAACGTATAGAAAAGGTCACATGTGCATTTTTGTCAGGGTAATATTATCAAGACCATTAATTGGACAACATCCAACAATATTTACTATTGTGTTTTATTTATTTACTTATTTTACGAGCTAAAAAAGGCCCAGTGAAAGGAGTTGGATCATTTATTCCCTCCCAAAGTGTCCCTGAGTGAGTGTCTCGGGATTTTTGTGACAGTTTTAGAAGGAAAGCCTTTCCCCCTCTCCACCATTCATCACCCTAGAAGCCTGGAAACCGTAGTGGATAAGAAATGACCCCCACTTGTGCCTCTCTCCTCTCAGTTCCTACCTCCACTGTCGCTGGGCCGAGCTGGAGGAGCTGGAGAAGGACAAGAGAATACACCAGAAGATAAAGAGGTTCAAGGCCAAGCAGCAGCTCAACAACTTCATAACCGAGGTGAGCCATGATTACCCCCCATAAGCAGCCTGGGGGGGTCAAATCAGACCCGTTTGGACTTGTTTTATACGGTTTCACAGCATCAAACATATACAAACACAAACATAAACATATATGGGAAGCATGCCAATATTCACAAGACAAGGTTTTAAGTACAGAAACGTATCGCTCACACAAAATCTGACCCTAAAGGTTTTATGTACTCAGTCCATTTAGTCCAGATTTTGTAAAACAACTTTTCCATGACATATATTTCGAGTATTATATTGATCCAATCCTCAATAGATGGAGACTTTTTACTTGCAATAAGTAAGATACCAAGTAATCTTTTATCTGGGTTATTCCAATCTGTCACAGGAACATCACCCAAATACAGTATTTCACATTTAAGGGGAATTTTAGTACCAAATACATTAATTATAACTTGACATTCCCAAAAAATATGGAAGTGGTTGGCACCAGTGACCCCACATAGTCTCCAACCTGCATCCCCACCCTCTTGATGACGTTTCTAGGCGTAATAAAGTTCTTCCAACTGAACTCTTGCCATGTGTTAGACCCTGTTTTCTAAACAGAAACTCTGTTTCCCTCCAGATGGACGACGAGCCCTTTAACCCGGACTACGTGGAGGTGGACCGCGTCCTGGACGTCTCCGAGAGCACGGACGAAAACGGAGAGGTGCTACTCCACTACATATTTTTGATTAATTTAATACTTTTACTCCGATCGATTTTTCATGGGCTGAATCGTTACTCGTTACTGATATGTAAACGTAATAATAGATAGCTCTGTCAGGGTTTGGGAAGCTGGCTCCTCATTGGGCGATAGCCTATTAAAAAAAAAAAAAACCCCGAAAGATTGCGTAATCGTGGCCATCAAAAGTTCCCCATCTAATCTGTAGAAACATATCAAGGTATGTTAAAAAAAAAATACAAAGACATATAAGATAGTAAATAAGCGCTAGTTCAGTTCTCCCTGTTCACTCAGGACGTAGCAGCTAACGCTAGCTAAAGCTAACTTAGCTGGCTAGCTGTATGATTACGTTAGCTAAAGTTAACTTAGCTGGCTAGCTGTATGATTACGTTAGCTAAAGCTAACCTAGCTGGCTAGCTGTATGATAACGTTAGCTAAAGCTAACCTAGCTGGCTAGCTGTATGCTACATGCTAGCATAAAGGCTCAGCTCAGGATTCTGACTGGAATAATACATAATAGTAGATGAAGTGCTGTTGATGCCAATGCAGATGTAGTTTTCTGTTTTTGTATACACCTGTATGGCCTTTCACACGTTTGAAATAATATAAACAATATCTATCACACTTTTGACTGCCTTTTTTAATATACACAGTACTTGTACTTTTACTTATACTGGTACTTTTGATACTAGAGTAGCATTTTTTTTTAAATACTTCTACTTTCAATACTTAAGTACAAAAATATTGAGTATATCCGTACTTCCGCTTGAAAGAATACCTCTACTTTTACTCAAGTAAATCTTTTTATATAGTACTTTTACTTCTACTGCAGCACTTTATACATCCCCCCGCTAACGGGTGTTGTTTTGGTGTTTTTTTGCAGACGGTGACCTTATATCTGGTGAAGTGGTGCAGCCTCCCGTACGAGGACTCCACCTGGGAGCTGAAGGCCGACATCGACCAGTCCAAGATAGACGAGTACGAGCGCATCGCGGCCCGCCCCCCCAACACTAAGCGAGTGGTGAGTCCCAGCCAGAGCCTCCTCCTCCATCTTGGAAATAGGGATGGGACGGTTTCTGAAACCCGTCTGAGTTGGGTTGGCGTGTGTTGCGTTCGGTTCCTGCTGCTCCTTTTTCTCAGAGGGAAGCGTTTACACTCCAGAGCAGAAGGGGGCGCTACTGCGCCCAAAGCCAACCACCAGTAGGAAACCAGAAGAAGAAGAAGCAGCGTAGCCCATAAAAACCAGACCAGCAGCAGTTTCTAGGTCTGCTGTATGGACCAGTTTGCATTTAGAGGGAAGCACATGTTGGAATTAGCTCTGTTTCCTCTCTGGCAGAATCTCACCTACTTTAACCTCAGACTGTCACAGTAATGGATCACATGTCACACTGCTTTTTTCTTTCAGTTTTAACCTGACTATGCAAGACATAATAGATTTTCCTAGCAATCAACACATACCGAACCCAACCCAAAACCGTGACCACCAAACCATGAATCGAACAGAACCGTGGATTTTGTGAACCGCCCCCCCCCCCTACTGTGCACGTACGCGTGCACGTGTTGGCAGGCGGCCGGCGCTTTGCTTCCCCAGATTTACAGCTCCTTTAACTGCTCTCTACAGGGCCACCTCCTTGTGGCTCCCGCCCTGCTCCTGTGGCCGGGCCAAACCACTAACAGTATGTTTAGGGCTGAACAGAAGCAGCTGACTGGCTCTGGGCCTTTCTTCCTTCCTTCCTCTCCGCGTCCGTCTATTTAACGACTGCCGACTGTTTCTCCTTAAGCCGGCCCACATTAGAAATGCTCCATCATTCGGTGGCAGATTTATTTTAAGCTCTGCTTAATGTGCCGCTCAGGGGACGTTAATTTGGGCTCTTACACCTTATGAAACAGGCATTTATTTACTATAGCAATGAACTATAACTTGGAGGAGAGTTGTATTTGTGCCAGTCTGGAATTTAACATTGTTTGAGCCTCTCTGGCTTTTAATAAACCTTTTTTTTCCCCTTCTTCCTTGCGTCCAGGATCGTCCTCTTGCAGCCGACTGGAAAAAGCTGGAGGGCTCCAGGGAATACAGGAATGGAAACGCACTCAGGGAGTACCAGCTGGAAGGCCTCAATTGGCTAACTTTCAACTGGTACAACTCGTAAGTCACCATTAATTGTATTCAGTAATGGCCCCAAACTACCACTCATGCAATAGCACCTCATCTAATAGTCTTAAGTGAACTCTTAAGTTACCATTAAGTGGCCCTGTGGCTCACCACTCTTTAAGTTTCCCCTCTGGAGGGAATACTTTGATTGCACCTTTCCTTCCTTTAACAGACACTCAGGACTGAGCACATTTTCAATTATCTGACACACTCTTAAGGAATTTTCTCAAATCTCAGAAGATGACAAGCGGCCATTTTTCCAGCAGGATTTTCCGACACGTCTCCCACATTTTTACACAGACTACCTCACCCCTCTGGAAAGCCGGGAGGGGGAGAAGTCTCTTAGTCCGCGGAAGGCAATTTACTTCAGCTGTGTGAAAGTGGTGGAATTTAGCATGGGGGCACCAGCGTACACAGATACATGTGGCCTGGACGGAGAGGGGACTGTAACGGCTTAGTGATACTACATAAAATCCATCTGTTTCCGCTCCTCAACGGTGTCCACTCCCCCCCCCCCCACAGACGCAACTGTATCCTGGCAGACGAGATGGGGCTGGGGAAGACCATCCAGTCCATCACATTCCTCTATGAGATGTACCTGATGGGCATCGAGGGGCCCTTCCTGGTCATCGCCCCCCTCTCCACCATCCCCAACTGGGAGAGGGAGTTCAGGACCTGGACCGAGCTCAACGTGGTGGTCTACCATGGCAGCCAGGCTAGCCGAAAGACCATTCAGGCCTACGAGATGTACTACAGAGATCCACAGGTAAGACTTAACTCACTATCATTCACTTTGAGGCCGCTCCTTATCTGTCCTCCTCACTATTTTTATCCAATATCTGCCGTTTAACAATTAAGACGAGACTCGTAGGCTGGTTTTTATGAACCAAGATGCATTCTAGGCGATATTTGGGTCCAATCGGCCGCTGATATTTGCAAAAAAAAATGTGGAAAATGCCGATCCAGACTCAAGATCCAGTTTAAAATAAAGAAAAAGAAGTCAACTCCGTGTTTTCCTGCACAGATTAAAATAATCTGTTCCACTTTGCTGAGTATCTGGTTCCTTTATCATTAGCATCTCCTGTGTGGGGTTATTTTATCCTATTTTGTGTTTAATAAACCTGTCGGTGTCTCTTTTCCAACTCACTTAATTCACATGGCTAGCTGTTAGAAGAGTAAATCCCTTTCAACATGAGTCTGACAATTAATTTAGCTTTTTAAAAGTCCGGCCATTTTCCAGCCTTTTAGCATTAGCATCTCTAACCCACAGGTCTGTTTCCTAACCATTAGACGGCCATTTTAATGTGAAGCTATCGGTAAAAATGTGGGATTATTTTATCCTATTTTGTGTTTCTCCCTGAATAAACAGGTCAGTGTCTTTTTACCAAACTCCCCTAATTCAGCTAGTTGCTATAAGAGTAAACCCCTTTTTCAACATGAGTCTGACAGCTAAGTAAGTAGATAAATAACTTTAAACTTTAGTACAGGCTCTGATAGGCTGGGATCGGTATCAAAAAGGCCTCGTATGGACGGGGCTCCTTTGCCTCATAAGCTCTTTACAGGTCTCTAGATGTAAGCTGTTATACTCTAAGCTCTTATTCTACAATGCTCCAAACAGGACTTTGTCTAACCTCGCCACCAAGAGCCCATAAAGAAAATAATCTGTAGTAGCAGAGCACTGGCTAGCACTGGCTAGCTGCTTGTCCTTAATCTAACTCAGGTAATCCACAGGGCTATGAAGGAGGAACGCTGTGTTCTTTTGTCCTGTCCGGGTTTAAGGAGGAGGGTCCAGCATGTCTGGAAAAATTAAGAACATTTGCATCCTGTATGGAGGGAAGACCAGAAACCAAAGCTGGACTTAGACTCCTTCATCCGAGAAACTTTGGGACTAAAATACTGGAGAGAGCAAAGTTAACATCTCCTCAAATCCCTGCTATCAGATGGACATGCATTACTTTATCCTTCAGACCACATAGACCACATAGAATACACGTTTGTGGGCTTAAAAACTCTTAGAAGTTTGGATATTTACACAAATAATGAACATGACAGCTATAGACTCAGAGTTCATTTAGTATTTATTTGAGAAAGACAAAAAATCCCTCTTTTCCTGACCTGAGAAACCAAACCTTCTCTGTTACAGATCAGACAGTAAATAACGCTGATTTCTGCTTCCACTGACCTTTTTGCTCGTCCTCTCCCCCTCTCTCTCTTTCTCTCTCTCCCTCTCCAGGGTAAGATAATAAAGGGAGTCTATCGCTTCCATGCGGTCATAACCACGTTTGAGATGATTCTGGCCGACTGTCCGGAGCTGCGCAGCATCCCGTGGCGATGCGTGGTGATAGACGAGGCTCACCGCCTCAAAAACAGAAACTGCAAACTACTGGAGGGACTCAAAATGATGGACATGGTGAGTGGAGGTTGTGTAGAAATCTGGAGGCAAATGAAAGCAGGTCCGTGCTTTGTTTCCGAGTTTCCTCTGTTCTTCTCTTTGGTAAATAAAGCCACGAAGATACATCCTGTTTTCTCAGTTTCTGGAAACTATTTAAGCATTTCCCGTCTCCAACTCTTCCTCCAGGAGCACAAAGTTCTTCTGACGGGAACTCCTCTTCAAAACACAGTGGAGGAGCTTTTCAGCTTACTCAACTTCCTGGAACCGGAGAGATTCCCCTCAGAACAGACGTTCATGACTGAGTTTGGAGACCTCAAAACTGAGGAGCAGGTAACTGGAACCAGCACAGAGAAGCATCTCCCCACTCCTCCTCCTCATTTCCAGTCCAGTAACATCTATCTTCTGTGTGTTTCAGGTCCAGAAACTCCAGGGCATCCTGAAGCCCATGATGCTGAGAAGACTGAAGGAGGACGTGGAGAAGAACTTGGCTCCAAAGGAGGAGACCATCATCGAGGTATGGGTGTCATTATTATTATTTTTTTTTTCAAAAATCTGTTTGTCTTTTACAATTCAAAGAGACATACAGACAAATAACTCACAAGTGCACAAAACGCCTAACAAAATTAAAAGAAGAGAATACACATTAACAATTTAAACATTCAAGGTGACCAGCATTAGATGATTACAGTGAGACAAAATATTTTAAGATTGATATCTCAGGGTAGTATGTTGAGACTTAGTCCAGGAGATTTAATCACAGTTTTTGAGCAATTGAATACATTTGGAATTAACATGAAGATAACAGGCTTACAGTCACTTTGAGAATAAAAACATAATCAAAATTAGATAGAGAACATTCAGTCAATCCTCATTATGAGTATTTAAATTTTCCAAGAATAGCTAAAACTTTTCCCATATTTTTTGGAACACATAGTATTTACCCTTAATCATAAAGGTGAGTTTCTCCAAGGCAAGAGAGCTTGATAATGTAGACATCCAAGTTTTTAGTTGGGGTCTGGTTAGGTGTCATTTTGAAATGCTTTCACTCACATTTTAAAGAAAAATACTTATTATTGTATCCTCTGGTGTTCTCAGGTGGAGCTGACCAACATTCAGAAGAAATACTATCGGGCTATACTGGAGAAGAACTTCTCCTTCCTAACCAAGGGAGGGGGAGGAGGTGGAGGAGGGGGAGGAGCCAGTGTCCCCAACCTCCTGAACACCATGATGGAGCTGAGGAAATGCTGTAACCACCCATACCTCATTAACGGTGAACACCCCCTCCTCCCTACAAAGGATAGCTGTTAATCTGACTGTCACTGTCCAGCTGCGGTCATTTTAAAACTAAAATCTACTTTACAAGATGTATACAGTATATACAAAATTAAATAAAGTTAGTTTAAAGTTTAGGTAGGGAAATTTATAGTTAGTGTACGTCCAGTATCTCAGTCTCTGAGTTAAAGGGCCAATAAAAAACCTTTTTATTGATTATTTCTTTATAATTTATTTCTTCTTCTATGAGTCATTTGTTTTCTTTCTATGTGTCATTATCTGCAGTTTTTATTAAGGACTTATCGTAGGTTTTTGGAACCAATTCTAGGAATCACAGTGTATTCTGATGGAAGATTTGAACCAACGTACCAATATTTAACATACAAAGTAGTTCCCAGAACTAATTAAACTCCTATATAGAGGTTTTACTGTATATATATATTTGTGTATCCATGTTTAGATATTTTTCTCTCAGTAGAACGATCCAACTTATTGGGTTAAATCTGTCCTTGTGTGTACATAGTCCAAACAATGAAGACTATTCTCCGTGTTCAGCTGCTTATATTTGAGGTAAATCATTTTTTCTACTTCCTGTCTCGTTCAGGAGCGGAGGAGAAGATCATCGAGGAGTTCAGGGACTCTCACGGAGGCCGGACGGACGTGCCAGAGATGGCTCTCCAGGCCATGATCCAGGCGGCCGGAAAGCTGGTGCTGATCGACAAGCTGCTGCCCAAACTGAAGGCCGGGGGCCACCGCGTCCTGGTGTTCAGTCAGATGGTCCGGTGCCTGGACATCCTGGAGGACTACCTCATCCAGAAGAGGTGAGAGATCAAAGGGGTCCATCTTTTGGGCATTAGCTGAATTAAAAAACAGCTTCTGTCTGATTTTACCGGGACTCGTCGTAGATAGCGAAGCGGTGAGAGCCCAAAAGGGTCCATCTATTGGTCCAAAAACAGCTTCCATCTGATTTTTAACGGGACTATTCGTAGATAATTAGAATAATTAGTCATATGTGATATCTGAATGAGCTCACATCTGCCCCAGCTGGGTTTAGTTTAATGTTGGTGAGAAGAATAACAGAGGTGAGCTTAAAAACGATGTATGAGAGATTAAGTGGAGGGGTTTCACTGGTAAAGGCCATAGTAAATGAGTTAACTAATTAATTATTAATTACTACTGCTAGGACTACCTCATCCAGAAGAGGTGAGCGCTCAAAAGGGTCCATCTTTTGGTCCAAAAACGGCTTCTGTCTGATTTTAACGGGACTATTCGTAGATAATTAGAATAATTAGTCACATGTGAGCCCTGTAACTTAAACTGAATGAGCTCAGGTGAGGGTTTAGTGTAATGTTAATGAGAACAATAACAGAGGTGAGCTTAAAAACCATGTATCAGAGATTTAGTGGAGGGGTTTCACTGGTAAAGGCCATAGTAAATTAGTTAATTAATTAATTAGTTAATTACTACTGCTGGGACTACCTCATCCAGAAGAGGTGAGAGCCCAAAAGGGTCCATCTTTTGGTCCAAAAACAGCTTCTGTCTGATTTTTAACGGGACTCGTCGTAGATAATTAGAGTATTTAGTCACATGTGAGCCCTGTAACTTAAACTGAATGAGCTCACATCTGCAAAGGTGATGTTTTAGTTCAATGCTAAGTTAATTAGTTAATTAATTAGTTAATTACTAATGCTACTCACTATTATTTTTAGTGTGTAATATAATGTAATTAATTAATGTAAATAACGTATGTACATATATATGTATATTTTATTTATTTATTTATATATATATATTTAATGTAATATAATTAATGAATGTAATAATAAACTACTACAAATGATAATAATAATATACAAATAAATTACATAAATTAGTATGTAATAAATGACATAATACACAATTATTGCCTGGACATCCTGGAGGACTACCTCATCCAGAAGCGGTGAGAGCCCAAAAGGGTCCATCTTTTGGTCCCAAAACGGCTTCTGTCTGATTTTAACGGGACTATTCGTAGGTAATTAGAATAATTAGTCATATGTGAGCCCTGTAACTTAAACTGAATGAGCTCAGGTGAGGGTTTAGTTTAATGCTGGTGAGAAGAATAACAGAGGTGAGCTTAAAAACCATGTATCAGAGATTTAGTGGAGGGGTTTCACTGGTAAAGGCCATAGTTAATTAATTAATTAGTTAATTACTACTGCTACTCACTATTGTTTTTAGTGTGTAATATAATGTAATTAATGTATATATATATTTAATGTATATATAAATTAAATGTATATATTTAATGTAATTAACGTGTATATATATATATAATTAATGTAATAATATACTACTACTACTAATATTAATAATATACAAATAAATTACATAAATTATGTAATAAATTGCACAATACACAATTATTATGTTATTAAATTACAATAAATTACATCGAACAACTTTGAACAAACTGGGGAAGATAGACCTCCATGAAAGAGCCAAAAAAAAATACAATAAAATGTCTATAAAAGCATTATGAGAGATACATTAATCCTTAGATACAACAAAAAATTCAAATAAAATAAATAACAGCCATCTTTTAGTGAATGTTTTATTGAAGTCAGAGGGAGAAAATGATCCTTTCCCTGAGGTAAACGGGCCGTTGTCTCCCTGCAGATATACAAATATATTACATACATAATTCAATTACAATAAATGACATCTAACAACTTTGAACAAACTGGGGAAGATAAACCTCCATTAAAATCCCAAAAATAAATAAATAAAATGTCTATAAAAGCAGTATGAGAGATACATTAACCCTTTCATACAACAAAAGATTCAAATAAAATAAAATAAATAACCTTATTGCAGGGTTAGCCACCTTTTATTGAAGTTGGAGGAAGAAAATGATCCTTTCCCTGAGGTAAACGGGCTGAAACGGGCTGCTGTCTCCCTTTAGATAATTCAGATAAAATAAGATAAATAACAGCCACCTTTTAGTGAATGTTTTATTGAAGTTGGAGGAAGAAAATGATCCTTTCCCTGAGGTAAACGGGCCGTTGTCTCCCTTTAGATACCCGTATGAGCGCATTGACGGGCGTGTCCGTGGGAACCTGCGGCAGGCGGCCATCGACCGGTTCTCGCGCCCGGACTCGGACCGGTTCGTGTTCCTGCTCTGCACCCGGGCGGGGGGGCTGGGAATCAACCTCACAGCCGCGGATACCTGCATCATATTCGACTCCGACTGGAACCCCCAGAACGACCTGCAGGTGCCCACTCTCTCCGGGGGGTCTGGGGCTTTAGGGGGACCTGTATCAATCAATCAATAGATGTTCATTCATATAGCACAGGGTTTTTCAACCTTTTTTGAGCCAAGGTACATTTTTTTATTGTAAAAAATCACGAGGCACACCACCAACCAAAAATGTCAAACGAATCTGTAGCCGCCTATAGTAACACTATAGTTATTCTTATCTTAAGTGTCTTGAATAGGAATCAAAATGTATTTTTATCATATTTTATATTTCTCCTTTCAAATGGCACTTAACATGTCCACTTTGATATATACAATTATATACAAAATCTAGTCATAAGGAATTATTACATGATTACTCCACCAGTCCCTAGAACAGCACAGACACTCAGAAATGGCATATTATTTGCAGATAATTAATTCCTTATCAAAAAATCCTGATATTTACGGACAAGCTTTAGCAGATCGTCCCCCAAGTCACTCTCGTTAAAAACATAAAAGACCTCTATAGACGTCTTTGGCAGCGAATGAGTTAATTAAATATAATTATTAATAAATAAATAAATAGATTCCACTCACAGCTATGATGTCCAGAGTGTTGTCACAGACTTTCCTGATCTCCGTGTTCTTGTCGTGCATCAGATCGATCAGGTAGGCCGGAGCCTCTGCTCTAAAGACTGAGGAAAATCAGAAATAATTTGGATAACCTGTGGACTAAAGGAGGGATTAGAGACATCCCCATCCAGTTTAATACTCCTGGTTATCTGTCAGGCTTTTTAAATGAGCTACTAAGTCATTCATCAACGTAAAAGAAACAAATATTTTTCCTTTCGGTTGGATTTGAATTGACGTCTATAGACGTCTTTGGCAGCGAATGAGTTAACTGCTGGAAAGACAAAAGGATGGTTCTCAGGCTGTGGTGGTTTCTTTCTTTTCTTTAGGCCCAGGCCCGGTGCCACCGGATTGGCCAGTCCAAGTCGGTGAAAATCTACCGGCTCATCACGCGGAACAGCTACGAGAGGGAGATGTTCGACAAGGCCAGCCTGAAGCTGGGGCTGGACAAGGCCGTGCTGCAGAGCATGAGCGGGAGGGAGAACGCCAACAGCGGGGTGAGAAGGGGGGGGGGAGGATGGATGGAGGGGGGAGGGAAGAAAGAAAGAAAGGTAGGAGGCAAGGAAGGGAGGAAAGATGGTAAATATCTTGGTACGGGCTGTACTGGAAGTCAATTTCTCCCTGGAGATCAATAAAGTATATTCAATTCAATTCAAAAAGTAGAGAAAGAGGGAAAGAACTAAGAAAGACTAGAAGAAGAACGACAGAGAGAAGGTTCTCCCACGGAGGAAGGAGGGAGGGAGGGAGGGGGGAAAGGGAGGAATGAAGGAGGGAGGAAGGAGGGAGGGAAGGATGGAAATAAGTAGAGAAAGTACTAGTAGAGAAAGTAAGGGAAGGAGGAGGGATGGAGGAAGGAAGGGAAAAGGAAGGAGGGAGGAAGTAATGGAGGAAAGGAAGGCAGCGAGGAGGGGGGGAGAAGGAAGGAGGGAGGGAGCGAAGGAATGAGGAAGGAAGCGAGGAGGGAGGGAGGGAGGAAGGAAGGTAGGAAGGAAGGTAGGAAAGAGGAAGGGAGGAAAGGAAGGAGGAGGGAAGGAAGAAGAAATAAGGAAGAAGCAGGAGGGAGGGAGGATGGAAGGATGGAAAAAGTAGAGAAAGAACAACTAAGAAAGACTAGAAGAACGACAGAGAGATGGTTCTCTGACGGCTCTGTTCCAGCCCAGTCCCCAGAAAAAGCCTTGACCCCTGACCTCTGACCCCTGACCCCTGACCCCTGACCTCCTCTCCAGGTGCAGCAGCTGTCCAAGAAGGAGATCGAGGACCTCCTGAGGAAAGGAGCCTACGGGGCCCTGATGGACGAGGAGGACGAGGGCTCCAAGTTCTGCGAGGAGGACATCGACCAGATCCTGCAGAGGAGAACCCACACCATCACCATCGAGTCCGAGGGGAAGGGCTCCACCTTCGCCAAGGTGCCGTCCAGAGTCCAGATTTCCCACGCCCCGCGCCCCGGTAGGGTCTCCCTAACCCCGCCAACTCTGTCTCCAGGCCAGCTTCGTCGCCACGGGCAACCGGACGGACATCTCCCTGGAGGACCCGGACTTCTGGGCCAAGTGGGCCAAGAAGGCCGAGCTGGACATGGACGCCATCAACGGACGGGTACGGAAAACTCCCACGCTGGCCCGGCCCCTGAATGCATCACGGCCCCCAACTCCCCCCGATTTTACACCCCCCAACACCCCCATTATTAGCATAGCTACCGCACACACACTTTCACGTTTTTACACACACTTTCAGAGTCTCCCCCAAGAAAAGGGGAGCTTCCTGTGGCCATTAATGAGTCGTATTATCAGAAGATAGGAGGAGGAAGGAGAGAAAAAGAGGGAAAAGGAAGAGGGAGATTAATATTGACAGTTGGGAATCTCCTCTCTTCCTTAATTACCCGTGTTGCTCTGCTCGTGTGTGTGTGTGTTTGAGTGTGTGTGTGTGTGTGTGTGTGTGTGTGTTTAAGCTGCTTAGCTCCTCTTAACAGAGCACAGATGCCTGGAGGCTACAGAGATATCACACGCACAAAAACACACACACACACTCTCACACACACACACACAGTCACACACACACACACACACACACACACACATACATACACACACTCTCACACATACACACACACACACAAAGAAAGAAAGGCCACCTCCATCACATCCTGGCACACATGTTGAGCCTTTTCCTTTCCCGTTTCCCTCCTTTCCTTGCCTCCTTTCCTTCCACGTTTCCCTCCTTTCCTTGCCTCCTTTCCTTCCCCGTTTCCCTCCTTTCTTTCCTTCCTTGTTCCTCTCCTTTCCTTCCTCGTTTCCCTCCTTTCCTTCTTCTTCCTTCCTTCCCTCCTTTACTCCCCTGTTTCCCTCCTTCCCTTTTCCCCGTCTCCTTCCTTTCCTCCCCCGTTTCCTTCCCCGTTTCCCTTCTTTCCTTCCCCATTTCCTTCCCCGTTTCCTTTCCTTCCCCCTTTCTCTCCTTTCCTTCCCCGTTTCCCTTCTTTCCTTCCCCATTTCCTTCACCGTTTCCCTTCTT